AATTATCTATAATTCAAAATACTGTGCTACTGTATTTCTGATTTGTGGACTTCATTTCATTTCCACATATGATTGAAGACGAATGCATAAAGCGTTCATTATGATTCTATGTAAACAAGCATACAACAGGTAAAGGCACAATTTGTGACAGCTCCAACATAAATGGGAGGGTTGGAGCTGTTTAGGGCCACAATGTTTTTATGAAAGCTATTGTGTCATTATAAATATACTATTAAAGTTTAGGAGGTTAGTTGTAAGCCCCAGGTCACCCAATTATAAAATAACTAAAAATGCAGCAAAATATTAGAAATGAATCAGAATCATACTCTAAAAAATGCAAAAACATAATGGAGGAATTGAGACAAATGATAGATTTCTAAAAATATAAAGCAAATGGCAGAAATAGGTGCTTTACCATGAATTACTTTAATATAAATCGATTACACTTTCAACTAAAAGAGATTGAACAATCAATAAAAATAAAGAATTCAACTATATTCTGTCTACAAGTAACTCATTTTGGCCCAAAGGCGCAGATTGGTCAAAAATGAAAGGCTGGGCTTTTTTTCAAGGATGGTCACATAGAGATGGCCAGCATTCACCTACTCCCAGACAAAGAAAACCCAAGCAAAGGTGAATAGCTGCATTTCAAGTTGAGTGAGAGCTCTAGAACTCAGTAAGGCAAGAGTGGGAACACAGTAGGACACTGGGCTAGAAATAGCAGCACACAGGCCAGCGCCATGGCTCACTTGGTTAATCCTCCGCCTGCAGCGCCGGCATCCCATATGGACATTGGGTTCTAGTCCTGGTTGCTCCTCTTCCAGTCAGCTCTCTGCTATGGCCCAGGAAGGCAGTGGAGGATGGCCCAAGTGCTTGGGCCCCTGCACCCATGTGGGAGACCCAGAGGAAGCTCCTGGCTTCGGATTGGTGTAGATCTGGTAGTAGTGGCCATTTGGGGAGTAAACCAGTGGATGGAAAATTTTCTCTTTGTCTCTGCCTCTTCATCTCTGTAACTCTGCCTTTCAAATAAATAAGTGAATTTTTAAAAAGGTAAAAAAAAAATAGAGAAATTTTGGAGAAGTTCCAAGATAGCTGAATAGGGAAAATACATGTTGATTTTGACCATGGGAAGATACCAAAAGCACAGGGAAAGACTGTGGAGACAGTACAATCACACAGCAACATGTAGGACACCACTGGCAACTCCCATAGCCCTTTGTGGTAAAACTGCCATCTTCTTGGAGCAAGGTAAGAGGAACCTATGGCAGCCCATGTCATTGTTGATATTGCCTGAGGGAGAGACTCTCGTCTCCCCTGACTTTGAATGTGAAGCATAAGTAGGGGAAGGGATGCCCACCTAACCTGTTTTCCACCCTTCCCCCCACCAAAGTGCCCAGCAAACAGCAGGAAGTACCATCTTAATAAGGTGAATAGAGGCTGCCGTAGCCTGTGTGTGACTGGGGGATTTTATTGAAGAGATAAATCCATGGTCCCTACTGACTTTGATTCTGGCTTTAGGGTTGGTAGGGTTCGGGTGCCCACTTAGATCTGTGATGCAAGGGCACATTGTTCTCCTCCCTCCCTTCATCCTATCAAGCTGTCTGACTCAAATTTTCCAAGGTAGAACACAGACTGACCTCTGTCCAGTGGGCAGCCGGCTTCACGAAAGCCACGACCCTCCTCGAGGCTCATAGTGCTGAGAGTGGATCCCCTGCTCCTGTGACTGTGAGAGCCCTCTGGCCTGTGACTGAGGGCAGCATGTGACTGTGTGATAGGGTATTGGGTGTGGCTGGGTCTTGGGGCAATCAATGGGTTTGGTTTCACAGTATCAGAGTTCCTTGATTGCTGTGTGAATCATTGCAGACAGCTCAATGTTCACACTGAGAGTGCATAGATCCTTTGTGTGGTTCATGCCCCTCAGTGGGTGAGGTGTGCAGGCACTGTGGGCTCACCCTAGGCAGCTGGATTGCCTTGGCAGAGAGGGGCTAAGGCTGTGAATATACCAGCCTATGTCTCCTCTAACATACCTTCCTCCCTGCTGATGATAGAGTAGATCTACTATGCCCAACTTTGGTGTCACTCTGGACTTATTCCACCCTTGAACCTTGAACACTATCCAGAGTTCCCTAGCCCCAGGATCCACCTCTGGATATGTGTTGAAGGCCTTCCACTAAGCTATAGAGGCATATTTCAAGATAAAAGTCCTCAAAGGAGAAAACCAGCAAGTGATTCCACAGATGCCTACAAACAAATGTAGAGATACAAGAAACATGAACAAGGGAGACAATGTGATTCCCCAAAAGGAACACAACAACACTTCAATATTAGAATGTGAAGACAAAGAGATTGATGAAATACACGAAAAGGAATCCAAAAGAATGATCATAAGATTACTCAAAAACACAGAGAAGCAAATCTATGAGATTGTGGTTCCTCTTTTTCTGATGTTGTTGCCTAGTGACCACCCTCAGAATAAGAGGCTGCCCACAGCCTGGCAACACACACACTATGATATATACATATATCATAGATTTTGTTTGGGGTCCAGGTATGGGTTAACTGAGTCTTCTGTCTCAGAGTACACAAAGTTGCACTCCAGGCCTCAGCTGACCCTTTGAGGCTTTACTGGAAAAGAGATAAATCCAGGCTTGTACACATTGGCCAAATCCAATTCTTTTTGTTGTATAACTGAGGTTCCTGTTGTCTTTCCGGCTATTATCTGGACTTCTCTCAGCTCCTTGGGACTACTTACATTCCACAGCCAAGTATCCCTCTCCATAGGTCCTCTAACAATATGGCAGCTTAGTTACTACAGTCAGCAAGAGAGAAAATTATTTGACTTAAGGAAGGATACATTCTGTCTTTTAGGGGCTTTCATCTGATTTAACTAAGGGGCACCCAGGAAAATCATCCTTTTTGTTAAAACAATATCATTTGTCCAGCATTCTGGCATAGCAGGTAAAGCTGCCACCTGCAGTACTGGCATCCCAGTCAAGACCCAGCTGTTCCTCTTCTGATCCAGCTCTCTGCTATGGCCTGGGTAGAAGATGGCCCAAATCTTTGGGCCCCTGCACCTGTGTGAGAGACTTGGAAGAAGCTCCTGGCTCCTGGCTATGGATTGGTGCATCTCTGGCTGTTGTGGCCAACTGGGGAGTGAGCCAGTGGCTGGAAGACCCATAGAATGGCAAATGTCCTAACAGCACTCTGGCCTCAGAATCAGCCCTTAAGGCATGCGGATCCGGCTGAAATGCCCATGAGAGTATTTCAGGCATGGAAAGCCAAGACACTCTGGGGGAAAAAAAAACCTAAATGAAAGATCTCCGCGAGTGAGATCCCAGTGGAAAGAATGGGTCATCAAAGAAGGAGGTACCTTTCTCTGAAGGGAGGAGAGAACTTCCACTTTGACCATGACCTTGTCTAAATATGATCAGATTTAGCAAACTCAAAAGGCTTCCATAGCCTTGGCAGCTCATGACAAGAGCCTAGGGTGATTACTGATGCCATAAACAAGAGTGTCAATTTGTTAAGTCAACAACAGGAGTCACTGTGCACTTACTCCTCATGTAGGATCTTTGTCCTTAGTGTGCTGTACATTGAGATTTAATGCTATAACTAGTACTCAAACAGTATTTTTCATTTTATGTTTCTGTGTGGGAGCAAACTGTTGAAATCTTTACTTACTGTATGCTAACTGATCTTCTGTATATAAAGAGAATCCAAAAATGAATCTTGAT